GTGTATATATATCTCCTCAATATATGTTTCACTCTATATGCATCGAAGAAGTGGGCTGTAGCCCACGAAAGCTTATGCTCTAATAAATTTGTTAGTCTCTAAGGTGCCACAAGTACTCCTGTTCTTTTTGCGGATACAGACTAACACGGCTGCTACTCTGAAACCTGTCATCGGAGCTATGGAGTTCAGAAAGCCATTTGGACTTATGATAACCTGTTGGATATGATAGCTAGGATTTGACTTCTAAGTTTTAAAATAAGTAGATTGACAGCTACCAGGAGATGTAAATTTGCCTGTATAGACTTTTAATAGCTTGTAATTGCCTACCATTAGTCCCCTCTGAAATAAACAGGACAAAATAGAAAGACAAGATGGGATAGGAGAAAAAAAATCTTCTCTCCCACGCTGAAGAAATGTGTCAGAGTGAATAGTAATCCAATGTAACTATATATCTTCAGAGAACAAGACTAAAAGCAGAGTAATTAACTTTTTCTTGAAAAGATACCTGGTGTAATAAACGACCACTCGGTGGATATTACAAAGCTCCAAGGACGTCTTTGAAAAATACCGATATAAGAAGTACAAAGGGAAATCATAGCAAATTATGACAAATCATTGTAAGTACGTAAGGAGCAATAGAATCATTTTAATGGGAAATACAAATTTGAATCAAGGTGCTGGGGGAACTGGACTATTCATGACTTGGAAACAGGTTCTGTAATACCACTAGGTCTAACTTGCATTACTGTCATGATGGTGAGTCCAAGTCATATTGTTGTATAAATGTATGCACAGAGCTCCATGTGGCTGCCTTACAACTCTCTTGGATAGGAACCAACTGGAGGCTGGTGATTGTTGCAATTTGCCTCCTACTAAATATGGCTTAAAGTGACTTTGGAGTTGTACTGTCGGCCTGCCAAAGCATAATGATGAGCCATGGAGTTCAGAAAGCCATTGGGACATATTTCTTTTTGACATGGATTTGTCCCATGTGTAATTGTATCAAATGAAGCAAAAAGACAGGTGGACACTCATCGGGACTTTGCCTGCTCTAGAAAACAAAAATGTATGACACAGTACTATCAGACTATGGAAAAGTGCTTCACTTGGATGAGCATGAATACTGGGAAGAATATTGGCAGAGTAACTGAGCAATTATGGTGTAATTCCAATGCACATTTGGCTGGAATCTAGGGAGAGTCAGTAACATCACCTTGTCCTTGTGGGACTTTATGTAAAATAGATTAGAGTCCCTAAAGCCTTATGATGACTTACCATGTGAGCTGCAATTGCTGCCACAAAAAATAAAATTAATTATGTTAGAAATTCCACCTCACAGTTATGGTGCGGTTCAAAAGGAGATCTCGTCAGTTTTTTGAGACCAACATAGCTATCTCATGATATGAGGGTTGTCTAATGGAAGATTTTAGAAGAAATAAGCCCATCAAAAATCTGAACCATACAGATTAACTTCCTTTCTCCAAAAGCATGAAAGGCCAAAACAACTCTATAAGAGATGCTGTCTATAATCTAACTGACAGCTGCAGAAAGTAATCAAGCAGTTTTTGCACAGGACAAATCAAGTAATCCACTTGGGTCCTGAATTTTCTCCACTTCAATCTGCACAATTTCCTTGTAGTCTCCTATGAAGCTAGGAAAACTAAATACTGTAGAACAAGGAAGCCATGCCAACTGGTAAAACAGCCCTAGGATGGGATGGAGAAAGGTTTCTTGGTTCTCAATGATTATATGTTGTGAGACACTCATCTCCAACATCTCTCTCCTCAAGGATTTCTCCTTGATGTCCTTGTT